TCAAGGGAAGAATGTGCTCTTTTATTTGCTGCTGCCCCCTGAACGCGAGGGCTCTTCTGGCTCGTTAGAGCTGCTGTCATGGATCTTTGACGGCGTGAGTAGTGAAGGTATGCGAGAGCTAGAAGTTGCGCTGTTGTGGTTCAGGTCCTTGACAAATGTCTGTCACTTCAAGGAGGCGAGGAATGTTATGTGAGAAAGATTGAGTAGGATTGCAGAATGAGGGTTATGGAAGCAGGCATCCATCTTGCGGCATTGCCAGGGCAATTCCCCGTGGCCCCAGCTGCAGAGCATCCTGGGTTTCCTTTTGGTGTAACATCCTATCCTGGGGACACCCGTAACACAACTTTCTCTGGTTTTTTTTTTTTGTCTGATGACTTCATTCCCAGTTCCTGTGAGTGAAGGTAAGAGAGCTGGGACTGCACATGGCAGCCTGGGATCTGGAAAGATGAAGCTTAAACACCTGGCTCTGTGCGTCCTCACCACCCCGGCTGAAGAATGATAGCTGGGTGTCTAGGGTCTGTGAATAGTCAATATTATCAATAGTAGCTTTTCCTTTTTATTCAGGGATTCTGTCAAATGCATATGGCCCCTTCCACGATGACTTGGTATTAATGAAAGTTTTAATTAAAAACTGACCAGCTAACCAGTTCAGTTTTTTTGCTGACTGACTTTTTGGTTTCCTGTGGAGAAGTGAAAAGTGTGTATTGCAGAAGTCGGGGGTCTTTTGCATAGTGGAGTATGCTGAGTCTTGGTCACAGCCGCCTTGCTCTTGTCACCACTGCCCCCGGTTTGTGCTACATTGTTCTGTTCTCTGAGCTAACATGCCCCTACTCTAAACTCTACACAAATGCAGACAAGATAAAACAGCTTTTGCAGTTGGTTTTGTTGCAGGCGTTTTCTGTGTGGATTTCTGCTGTAGATGTGTACATACTTTCTTGCATTAGTGCTGGGAACTTTCTGCAGAACAGTTTTCAGAAGCTTTTTTGCATTCCCCATGTTAATTTCCTGGCTCAAGTCAGGTTGAATAGACTTCTTTGATACCTGTGTTGGGTTGGCTTATCCTGTCTTGATAGGCGAATGATCACAGAGTTAAATAAACTGTATGAACCCAGCTGGTTATATTTTAAAAGAAGAGAGAATAAATCTATTGTGTTAGATTCCCCTCTTGCAAGGGCTTTTTCATAATTTACAGAGTTTTTCTTTCTCTGTAGGCCAGGAAAGATAGAGATACTACTGAGTGACCTACTTGTAATCTGGTTGTTAGACTATTTGTAAAATCAACAGTCGGTACACTCCTTGATCTCCGGAGTTTTATCAGAGAAGTAGAATGAGATGTCAGGTCACTAATTTCTTATCGTCCTGAAGAAGTCACGTAATTTTTCCATTATTTTGAAAAAAAGTCACCCTTGAACTACCCATGGATTTAGAATTAATACCTTTCTTCCAGCTGGTTGTATCCATGGGTCTGTATGGACTGGGAAAGATTGCCAGAATTACTGAAAGTCTGCAGTTAGTTGCAGAGTTCAAGTTTTGGTTTAGATTTTGAAAAAGATTATTCTTTTCAATTTGAAATAAAAATAACTGGGGAGAAAACTCCCACGACGCTGGCCTTTTTGTTGAGGCCAGTTATCATTAATGAAGAAGCTTATCTTAGGTTAGGGTTGCTGGAATATATTTTACCTAGTTTTATCACATTTTGTCTGTTTTGATGATTTGAAAAAATCATGAAAGTGAATCATGGATAAAAGGCTCCTGGTAAATTATTTAAGCACTTTTAACCACTGCTGATCTCTTAAAGAAAGCCCAGGAACAATCTTAAGATTTTTGGCCCTTTCTAATTCATTATGTGGAGATGAGATTCAAAAACATTGGTCCTTTATGGGAGAAAGCTCATGCCTTTTAGTTGTGTTAGCTAAGGTTATCTATTAAACACTTCTTCTGTGTAACATGGGACTAGCCTGTCTTTTGAGTCAGCTGCTGGAAGAAGTGCAAGAGTTCTTGTCACCATGGAAAGGAGAAAGCACAGATTGCTCTGATGCGTCCCAAGTGGCTTGGCTGCTGGATTGCTATTATACCTGCAGAGAAGATGCAGGCATAAACTTTGTGATCTTTCTCCCAAACCTCATTTGGACAGCAGCCTAGCCAGGAATCACACGAGAAAGTTCTTTTGGTTTTTTGTTTTGTTATTTCCCTAAGTGCTTAGGGAGACATAAAGGTCAGTTTGTGTGTGCTGACTTAGAAAAGTACACTTAAACTATTTCTAATCCCGCTGGGCAGTGCCATGGACCAAACTTGTTTATGGACCTGTTTCCTTTGTCCAGCTTTCTCGGCAAAAAGCTGCTGCTTCTTTGCTGTATGCTGCAGAGCGAATGAAAGGCAGGAGGTGTATTCACCCATACTGTAGGCCCTTTCCTCCCTGTTGTTGCGGAGGTCCTTATCCCAGGTGATACTAGCAGAGGTTTTGCCACCTCCTCAAAATGTGAGAAGTAGCCAAAGATTTTTTAACATCACTGCAGGGAGCGCTGCTATTCT